AGAAGAGATGGAACAATAAAGTTTTGTTCTTGTTTAAAAGGAAATTTCCATCAACAAAGATTTTTTTTCAGGGCTGTTGCCTTTGACACTGACACATGAGCAGTGCCTCTGGGTCTATTTAAAATGCAGATTATTTTTCCCAAGGTCTATGGCTTGAAATGACAAACAAAGGGAGAGTTCTGGGTGGCGTTTGCTTAGCCTTCCAGTTTCCAAGCTAAGCCTGCCTGGAATCCATTTAATCATTATGCACTCTGGCTTAAAAAAAAATGCCTGGGAAGAAAAAAAAACATGGCATTGCCAAGGAGCCTAACAACTCTGTATGACATGTGTAAAATGCGGAGTGGCTTTGGATTCATTCCATTGAGAGAGCTTCTTCCTGGCTCACAGAGACGTTTTTCATGATATGTATTCATTTTAAGTCTCCCTACATTTTGCTTCAGGACTTTTTACACTTTTAAGTGGATGAGAAGAAATCTGGCACTCTTCCCCTCCTAATTAAAGCAAATGAACATGCAAACCCGTATTTCTCTCTAGATCTAAAAGAAGTAAGAGAGATCTTAAGTGGAAGAAATTGGTTACAGTGACTACCTCTGGGTAGGTTCCTTCCTTTCCTGGACTAGAGGAGGACTAACAACACATGGAACATTTTCGGTTTTAACTCTGAGGAAAGCACACTAACACCTCTAAATGCTGTATATTAGAAATTGTTGTTAATTGTTAATTTCTCCACTTCCTTGCAATGTGGCAGAAGACGGTGCAGGAATCTCTGAAGCATAGGAACAGAAAAGAACATTATGGTACAAGAAGTTTTATTTAAGGAGTTGTTTTTATGTATGGTAATGCAAAATTAGCAAAGCAAAATGCAGGTGAAATTTAGAAAGTCTTGAAGACATCTCGAGGCCTAAGAGATGATACAGTTCTGTGCACTGGATATGTAGATTGCTGCAAAATACTTTCTCACTACGTCAAAGTTGGAGGACGGAAGGGGATTCTTCTTCCTGTTTCACTATTTCACAAAAAGTGTATTGCACAGAGGTGGCCTCTGACAGTACCAGGATTTGGATCTACCCTTAAGAAAGCCACAGAGTGCACAATGGGAGCATCTGATCCGCTTAGCAAAGAATTAGAAAAGATCTGCTGAGCTGGCTTTGCTGACATAGAGCAGAGCTGTTCCTGGTAGTATATTGCTTCTGCAGCACTTGCTCTTCTGTAACCCAGCAGTTTTTCCTTCACTGGCTTCCTCATTTGTGACTGTCCAAAGCAATGCACGAAACAGTGTCCCAAAGCAATGCACCAAACCTAGGGAAGAGTATACAGCCCACCATCTTAGTGCTTTTGTTTGCTCTCAGTTTTGCTGCCTTCCCTTGAGAATACAAGCAGTGCTAGAGTGCATCACCACTTGATGGCACCAAACAAATTTGAAAGACCATTTAAAATAAATAAATAAAGAAGGGAAGCAACTCAGCTTATCTGCAGTGTGGGAGGGCACCATTAGAAGTAAGTTATGCTTGCTGTATTAGTAGAGCACTCCATAAAGCACTCTCAATATCTGATAAAGTTTTTCATTGTTCAGTTTCTTTAACACAGCACTGTTGTAAATAATGAGCAATACGGCATTCTGCAGGAAAGTAGTAAACTGAAGTATATTTTAGCCCAATGTGCTGTCCACTTTGTGAGCAAGTGTGCAATTGCTTGGCTAAAAATGTTCTGGTTGCCTTGTGCTGGGGCTGTACCCTCAGTGTATCTCTTCCAAGTCATTTTGCAAGTACAAAGCAGTGGTTTAATGAAAATCAAGTTTCTGGACTGCATCATCCAAACAATTTTCCAAAATAAGGGGAATTTGAGTACCATTGCACTCACTGTATGATGTTAGATTCACAATGACCTTTATATTTCAGGAACTCCTTACCTTATAGATAACTCCTCTTGTGCACTGTGGGGATTAATGTTCTCTGTTCAATGACTGGAAGGATGACCATATTGATTCTTTAGACATTATCATTAAAGTGTACCAACAGGGTACACTTTAGTATCCCTTAGTACTGTTATGGATGCTTCTCCTTCTCTTTTATGAACACATTGTAAGAATCTTGTGTTTCTCAGGTTTTTATTAGTTCTCAGAAAAATGAGTTTCAGCAGCAGACATCTGCAAGATAACCTGCTGGTCTCTCCGTTAAACACACAGCAATTGCTAGAGGCTTCCTTTATTTAATTCACTCTGAATCCTCTGCTTTCTATAGTTTTAGCCTCCTTCTGTCTTTTCATCTGTCCCTGAACATATTGCCTTGCTTAATTATATCCTGTTCTGTGTTTCGTGGAGAAAGAGGAGGAAGATTGCTTGTCAGAATGACCAGGATTCTCCTCCCTTTCAGATAAAAGTGTCTGCCACAACGTTTGGTTAGTTTGTCTAGGTTAGCTGTAAAAACAGATACTCTGTTGGCTTCTCTTCTCAGCTAGCGGAATACAGACAGGGCTCATCCCAGCATTATAAGGATCAGAAACAATTAAAGATTGCAGTGTACTTGTTTCCCTTTCACTTCCAATTCTCCTTCTACCACATCATGGATTAATGGAAGTGTATAGTGTTGAGGGATTGTGTATATGCATATGTATTGCATTCTTGTTGACATGGAGACAGAAGACTTTTGGCACCAGTCCTCTCTTTTAATTCCCAAGCAACTCTTTTGTAATTAATTATTAGAATTAACTAGAAAATTCTTTGTCTGAGAAGCTGTTTGCTTTTGATTTGCCTGGTCCAAGCATAACAATCTCAATAGTAACTTACAGTAATTATATCTGATAGATCCTGTGGTTGTCCATACACACGCTCAAGTTGGTCCCAGTCCTACAAAGCTTGTGTGAAGATTTTTTTTAAAGAATTTTTATAACATGCCTCTGAAATTTGTGCATATTGATTCCAGAAACTTGTGTTGATTGAGGATCAGTTTAATCCTGTTTCTAGACCATGTCGCATGCATATTAGGCCGTTTACTGACCCATTGCAGTTTGACTTTGAAACCTAGAAGCATTTCACCTAAAGGAGGCTGTAGCATTCTCAAGGTGCAGGAGATATTGAAGTGCTGCTCTCTGTTACTGTGGTGTACTCAAGAGAATAAATACAGCTCTGCAAAAAGGTGAACATTCAAACCCATTAAAACCTTTGGGGTTTTTTTTTTAAATGTTTGCTTCCCTCCTGTGTAACTAATTAGTAGGAAGGATGCCAAAGGTTGTATCAAAAGAAAGGCCTAAGTCTTTGAGAGCATCAGTGTCATGTTTTTATAAGACAAGTCTGTTGTTTTCCACTTGTGAAACAGAATAAACCATTTAATGAAGGAACTTTAAAATGTGCTGGCAGCTTTATTCGTGGGTGCTGGTGTTGCACTCTGACCCATCTTAAATGGCTGGTGAAACAGTCTGTAGCAATTAGATAATTATTTCATTAAAATATGATTAAATCCAAATGCCTGTAATTGATGCTTCCTGTAAGCATTATTGGAACAGGACTTTAATGAAAACAAATATACATTCTTGCTGTTCCCAATATTTGAACTCCAGAGGGAAGAAAATGGAAAGCAATTAGAGCAACAAAATGGATGTCTGTAATTTCATATTCAAAGCATACTTTTCTTTTTCTCTAAAAATTCTAATTTAACGGGGAGATTTCATGTGCCACTTAACAAAACTGTGTATTTAGACTTTGTGTAGTTGTTTAGCTCTGCTTTTAGCACAGGTGTCTTCTGCATTCTGAAGGCTCTCTAGGCTGCAGTACTTTTGGTCGTCTGTGTAGCCCTCGGTCATGGGATGTAATACGCAGAGATTCACTGAAGGGGAAAGAGGGTTGGTGGCCACGTTAATCTGATAAATGTTCTGGAAAGCATACTCACTCAGATGGAAGAGCCAACCCTGCCTCTAAATGGTGCTGCAGCTTGGCTTGAGGCTGCAAGCATCTGCACATGAGCCCAGCTCAGTCATCAGCATTTTCTGCAGGAGGTGGCAGTCACTTCTGTGCTGGGGACTCAGCCCATTTTTCATGCATACAGTTTGAATTGGGAAAGGTCGCGTGCATCTCCTCACATGGATGTGAAATTCAGCCCAGGACCAAGGCAGCTGCTCCTACCACTGGACTCTTAATTGGTTTTTGAGTGTTTGTGAAAGGTAGAAGCTCTGTATGCTTTTTATCACCACTTCTCCAAAAACAGAGCAAAGTGTATATGGCTGAATAAGGATGAAACAGAAGAGGCTGAGCTTAAAAGTATTTAATTTTACAAATTGATTGAGCACTGGAGTAGGTTGCCTGGGAAGACTGCTGAAGCCATGGCATGGTTGTCTTAGAACATTAACGAAGCATCTGTCAGGAACCAGGCAGCCAGTGCAGGGGGCAGGGGAGGGCAGTCCGGCAGAGTTTCCCCTTGTGTGAGGCGTGCCTCACTGATGAAGCACTTCTAAACTAAATGAAGCATGCAGCAGCCCAGGGATGGCCTATGCTGAGGCACAGTGAATTCTTAAGTGGTTGAAGCGAGGCATTAGTCAGAGAGGGTAGAAGACACCAGATTACACAAGCTCCAAAGGTTGAAACCCAGCTGCATTTTGATGTAATTTGATACTTGCTGATGTTGTCAGTCATGGAGCAGTGTTACTTTTTTGACAAGACCAGCAGCAATACAACATTATGCAGTCAGAAGGACAAGGTTAAAAAGTACTGCACTGTTTGTAGCAATCTCACTTGGCCTTCGAAATATACTAAGCTGTTATTATACGCTCTACGTTTTTTCAGGGCAAAAGCAGTAGGCATTCTGGTAAGTGAGAAATTTAAAATATTGTGCATTTGTGAAAAAGTCAGATTCCCCCTTTGAACACACTGTTAAAGGGTATTGAAGTTTTGTTTCCCGTACTTAAAAGGGCTATCTGGAGCTCTTTGGAGAGCACTGATTGACTGCAAAGTCAGATTTTTACTTGAGATCATGAAAGGCAGGTGTCCTGAAACTCATAATTGATTACAGAATTTGTTTCTGCGATAACAAAGAGTCATGTTGTCATCTGGACCTTTTATCACCTTTAGGTTTCGGCATAGTCCAAATTGCTGGTACTTGAGAGACTGGACCATCCACAGCTGGATCAGACAGTGCTTAAAATATGATGCACAAGACAAAGCCTTATACACATTAAAAAACAAGGTAAGTTTTTACAAGGAAAAGCCATGAATATATTTGATCAGCTTTCTGAGACAAGTGTGGCTTACCTTTATTCCTGTTGCAGCCAGCACCTGTAGACTGTGGTTTTAAGTTCAGATATTTCTTTATCAAAACAAAAATTAATGTTGCACTTGAATTTTAGCTAAAGCTCTTTGCAGCTCTTATTTACGCTTCTTTCCCGGGAAGCTTTTTGTTTTTAAACAGTGTTGGTGTCCAAAAGTTGCTAGATGTAGGAGAGGCATAAAAACCTGATAGGCAATGCCCTTCCTGGTCCCAAAGGCTCAGATAAAATGCCTAAACAAATACAGTACATCAAAAGTTAGACAGCCTGCATCACAGGAGCCATCCTAGTCTCCTTCTGTTGCTTGACTGTCACATTGCAGCAGTGTACAATGTCGTAGTTCTGATCTTTCTGATGCCTACAGTGCTATGCTTGGAAAGATTTGAACAGCAGAATCTCACACTGATTTTTTTTCTTTCTTCAGGTTCAGTATGGAATTTTCCCAGATAATTTTACATTCAATATTTTATTGGATTGTTTTATAAAGCAGAAGAAATATGAAGGTAAGAAAATAGATACCAATTCTGCGTCTTTATTTGTATGCACTTAAATCTGCAAAACCTTTATTTGAATTAAAAATTGTAGCCATATTTTCTCTGAAGTCACCTTAAAACCACACTGTCTCCTTCCTTTAAACTACTTTTCTGCATGTTTATATCTAATTTCTGTTGGTTTTTTATTCATTATGTAATTTTGAAACACGTGCAATTCACAGTTTCTACTGTGATAAATCCCACTCCAAACGTAAACTAGCTTCTCCAGTTTTACAAGTCTGACGTACATGCCAACAACATCATAGGAGTTATTAGTGATAATTAGAGTGTTGTAAGAACCAGAATGCATGTTGGTAGAGTACATCTTACCTCCATGTAGCTATTTGAAAAGCTACATAACTAAATAGTTTGTTTAGATGTTTTGTCTACTGAGAGAGCCAGCTATGCTGAATTGCCATGTTGAGGTGTGATTGTTTAAGTATTGACATGAATAATCCTGTCATGTTTGATGACAAATATTTAAGGTTTTCATTTCACTGCAGTTTTTCTGGTGCTGTAGACTTGCTGTGAGCTTTTCCTTGCATAAGCCTTTTGTAAAACAACTGAAAGGGACAGTAGAATTGCAGGACTTGGTCTGCAGCTTTTATCGTGAAGGTTTTGCTAAATGGCAAATTAATACATATATTTATTTTGTTTTGAGAGCCCCCCTATCTGTGAATTCCCCATTAGTCCCTCCATATTTCTTTTCTGTGACAGTCTCAAGGCCTTTTGTTTAACAAACTCTCCTTCCTGACAGGGAATGTCACTGCAACTCCCTGTGAAGCTCCGCCACAGCACTGTTTGCTGAATACAGTGAGTGCTGTGGGTGATCTGTGACAATATTTCTGCTCCATTGTACTCTCCTGTCACCTTAAGGGCAGTGAATTTAAGCCAGTCTTCTCTTGTTTGTAATCTAAACACAAGAACAAAGAAGTAATTTTTAGAGATTTAAAAAAAAAAATTAATGATTGAAGGGCTGAACAAAGAGCCAACTGAAGAGTGTAGAGCTAAGATGAGTTTTGAAAGCTGCATTACTATGGTCTCATGCTGTTCAACTTATTCTTCCTTCTCTCAGTGTGTTTGAATAACCCAAGCAAGTAAGACTAATTCTATACTACTAGTCGTAACAAATCTGTAACTTTCGCCCTAACTACTTGAAAATATACTGCACCAATAAAGTATCAGTGAACATGAGTGGGTGCGAAAAGGAGCTGTGTAAAGTTGCACTTGCTGATTAAGTATTGTTTTCCTCTATAGATGCTATGTCAGTAGTAACAGAGATCATGCTGCAAGAAAGTTTTGATGAATTCTCAACACAACTTCTTTCTCTCTATGTTTTATACCAGTACCTGGCAGCCAAGGCTGAACATACGGTAAGCTGACGACACTCAAAATGATACACAAAGCTTCCATTTCTAAGTGTTTTGGGCAGTCAGTTGGGCATTCAATCTTGAGTATATTTTATTTTCCCTAAGTTTACCTGGAAAAAATAAATACTCTTGTTTTTTTGGGGGTTTTTTTTAAATTATTTTTACAACTGCAGAAGAAGGAAGAAAAAAGAAGCAAATATGAAGGCCATCAAATAATTTGTCACCCTTTTTGCTCCTTTCTCTGAAAGGGAAGGTGTGTTGGGATTTTCAGATGTAATGTATGCCCATTGGAAGGTTGCAAATGACATTTCAGTTCAGTTCAAAGAGGGCTCTATCAGTTAACACAAAAAAACTATTGTCACCTGTTGTGTAGTACCCTGTTAAGGAGAGTATTGCTCACAATTACAGGTTGGTAATGGTGGTGTTGCAGAATTATAAAGCATTTTCACTAGGATTTTACTATCCCATTTGGCTTTGGGTGTATTGTTTCTAGTATGTATTTGTTTTAAAACTAAATTTGTTACATGTCTCCTGTCTCCAAGGATTAGGAGTTTCTTATTTATATCTTACTTGCTTAAGGCCAACGTGGCAGTTCAGGCTCTTGGAATTGGCATTATTATGCCTTTGCAGAAGGGGCTCAGATAGGTATCAGCAAAGAGCTCTGCCATGTCCATCACTTTAGGCAGCAACTTTTCATGTAGTTTTGGCACAAGCCTTCAATAGCATGTTGTCATCCATCAGGAAAGTGCTTGAAGCCTCCATTTATCTCATATAAAGCATCTTCCAAAATGTGTATTACAGATGCCTTAAGGCTTTACTCAATTGGGTTGTAATTTCAGTTTTATTATAGAAAACAGATGTGCATTTGCCCTGTTCTGTATTCTCCTTCATTCCCCAGAAGTCAAGTATGCTTGATCACTTGTATATGGAAAGAAGAGGGACCAAAATCTCATTTTCTCATTGTGTTTGTTCATGTTTGTGTTGTCATTATGTATCATATTTGTCCAAAGACAACTCCTTGTCAATATGTGTATTGTTTAATTAAAGCTGAATATGCAAGCAAGGATGGGGTCGACATACGACGCATTTAAGGCAAGCATATTTATGCAGCTGTGACTTATTTAGTATGAATTTTGAAAAAACCCCGTCCAAAGACAGCAGTAAGCCGTATTTTTATATGCATACACCATACAGAGTACTGTTCAACACCTTATAATGCTCACTACCAATTTTCTCTGTTTGATTTAAGAAGCGAGGCTAGAGAGAGTTATGAGATCTACTCAGCTACTCCTGAAAATCCCATTCCCTTTTCCTAAGGTGTGAGACAGGTCAGCCAGTGTCCTGTTGGAGAAAGGCTGTTCGCTGTAGCTTAGGATCCAGCAGCCTGATTAAATGTTTTTTTAACTTTTAAGAGCTGAGTCTTGGGCAATCTGGTTATTTTAGTCCATAGTATGTATAGCACTAAGATAGAGAGCTTCCGTCTATCTGCCATTTGTAAACACCACTGAAAGCCTGACTGGTCTTGGTTCTACCCAGAAAGTTTCCTCCTTGACCGCTGGAAACAATCAGTATGATTGCTACCTTCCACTGCAAAAGGTGTTAATGTTAAATTCTTGCAGTTCCTCTATCTCTTGGAACCTAATTGGGCTAGCTCCCAGAAGAACCTAGACCGCTAAAAGAAGTGGTTTTCCAGTTGCATCTCATTTTCCTGTAACATTCAGCTGGAGTGCTGGATTTAGCATGAAACAACCCTGTCTCCCTGTTTCCGTTTTCTGGGTCAGGCATGTACCTTGCCTGGCTGTCAGGTGGTGGTATTTTGTGTCAGATGATAACATGCAAATTCTTGTAGCACCTGAATAGCGACACAAAAAATGCCATACCTTGAAAAGACATTTCTGAATAATGCATTAAACTAGAAGGTTGAACCTTTGTGCTTTTTAAGACTCAGTGTACCTTGGGAAATTTTTCAGAAAGCTTTTTCCTTTCACCAGGGATATTTGATTCAGGTCATAAGGTGGTAAACAAGTCACTGAAGTACCCTGCCACAAAAACCATGTGTTAGAGAGTCAGACTTCCTCCAATGTGTTGCCTTTTATAGCTTCCTTTTCGTCATTTTCTTAGGAGTGGACTTTGTTCAGCTCCTTTCACTTGCAGTAAAGAGACAGTTATCCTTGATGTTTGTGCTTCTCTGGTCTTGAAAAATGTACTGTTCTATCCCATAGCAAAACACAATTCACACTACTCCTGTGGTTTTAATGTACTTCCTGATTGGGTGCCCTTCTTTAGCCATCACTGGTGGTCTGGCTCAGACAGCTGGTACTTCTCTCTAGCTGAAGAGGCAGCTGTGCTTGTAATCCTGGGGCACACAGTGGTCTTGGTGAGTTGCATATGTTCTTTTCACAGTGCAGATTTTCGACTCAGAGCAGCCATTAGCATCATATTCTTCTCTCAGCATTTTCCTGTTCTAGCGAGGGATAGTGGGGCATGTATCTTTCCATATACTTCAAAGAAAAGGCTGCTCTAGTACAGAAGCTATGTGATTTTTTTTCTTCAGCAGTGTGAGCCTGACATATAGGACAGAGACAAAGCTTGGACAGTGTAAATCAGTGTAACCCTCTGTGCTGAAGGAAATGCACTGATTGACTTCCATGGAAAATCTCAGCCACTCACATTTTACTGTCTTCTGGAAAGAGAGATATTCCTCCGTATAATGTATACTATTCCTTAGGATATACTGTAACTCTGAACACTATGCATTTTTAGTCATTCTTTATTGGTAAGACATCTGATGAAAGCCAAGTGTGCTATCTTTGGCTGCTGCCGTATTATGTTTATGTTTGTCAAGGAACACTTACTTAGTTTACATTATTTGCAGTGGGAAGAGGAGAGAAATCTTGGAGCATCGCTGTTGCTTACGGGTCTAAAGCAAACAAGCACTGTGGGTTTTAGCTCCCAGCTGTATGGCTATGCATTCCTTGGTAAGTTTTACCTCCCTCACAGTCATCTTTTCGCTCTTGTGTTCAGTGTCTGAATTAAATTGGTATTTTTGCTTTATTAAAATGTAATCAAGGAGAAGGCTAACTGAAAAAAAGGCAGAAATAGTGGAAGGAGCAATTTCAGAGTTAAGACTGAGTCTGTTTTCTGAGCCTGGAAGGTAGTACTGATTTGAATGGTATGCCCTTTATCGTACAGCTTCAGAACCTCCTTTAGGGCTTCCTACAGATTTGGTTTGGCAGCTGAAAGAAAGAAGACATTCTTAAAGAACAGGTTTTTTTGTGGACCATGAAATTTAAAAAAAAAACAACAAAAGTACAAAGTTCCATAACATAAATTTAAGATTGTGGACAACAGACTCTCTACCTAGGTAGTGAGCTTCTTAAAATAGCCCTTAAATCTCAAGTTCAGAGAGCACAGCCTGAAAAACACTGTGTTTAGAAAATTTACTACTCGCTGTAAAATTAGTGTTTCTGTTGTGAACAGCAGATAGTGGAGCCTTTATCCTGTATCTGATAAGGAGTCTTCACTGGTAGTGATCTGCTGTATTATTAAAGAACAGTTAGATCAGAGTACATACAGAATTGGAGGGAAGGGGAATGGGGTAGGTAACTTGAATTTCCTCTAATCTTTAGAGAAATACAGTGCAGATAGGTTTTGTCCTTCACTACATAATTATTATTTACTGGAAAGTAATTAATTAGTTTAAAATCTATTATTATGTAGTTGTTCCATTACTGTATTATATTATAGAATTTATTGAGGGGGGACTTGTTCTTAAAATGTGGCCTCAAAATACAGTGTGTAATGGCAGAGTTAGGATGCTGATTCGGATTTATCATGACTGTTAAGATGAAAAACTAATTTTCAGTCAAAAAGGGAGATAAATGTGAAAATTAATTTGAAAGCAGGATTTTCCATACAGCTGTAGTTTGTTATCCAGTGGAGATACTGATGCAGATACGGACTTTGATGTCCACTTGGCATTCAGTTTGGAGTGGTTTTTATGTCATATAGATCAGTTGAGTAATGGCTGTATTTCAAAAATGCACTTCACTGTTTGTGAGCAGTAGTACTTGTTCCATGACATTGACATTCAGTAGATCAAAAGCTATTTGTTGTTATGTCACATATTCCACAGTCTTGCCAACACTAATGGAACCGACCTCTGAGAGAGTGAAAGATGTCTACAGGCACAGAGTGGCCTCAAGCACGTCAGCTATTTTAATTTAGCCGTAGTCCATAAGCTTTCTCTGTGCATGTATTGCCTTGCTTTTCCTAAACTGTTCTCTTCCATGTAAAGAAGAGTAAGGTGTGTTTCATAGTTTTGTGTCATTATAGCCAGAGTGAAAAATAGATGGAGAGCTTGGATACAAATCTCATAAGCTACACTGAAGTGGTGTTATTTGTTACATTGACAATGACAAAATTAAAGCATTAGAGTGACAATCATTGTAAATTAGTACTCACCAACTGCAACACTGTGTACATTTCCGCTATTATGTAGGAGTTTCGTGTTTTCTAGTAATTGCCATTAGAAGAAAAGCCACATTGTTATTGGTGCTGTTGCACAGAATCCTAAATCAAGAAACCACAATTTCATTTTGGCAGGTCTCCCATATTTCCTCTCAGGAAGCTCCAACAGAATCATAGTATCATAGAATGGCTTGGATTGAAAAGGACCTTAAAGATCATCTAGTTTCACCCCCCCACTGCTGTGGGCAGGGTTGCCAACCACTAGAGCAGTCTGCCCAGGGCCCCGTCCAGCCTGGCCTTGAATGCCTCCAGGGATGGGGCATCCACAACTTCTCTGGGCAACCCGGTCCAGTGCCTCACCACCCTCTGCGTGAAAAATTTCCACCTAATACCCAACCTAAATCTCCCCTCTCTTAGTTTAAAACCATTCCCCCTC